GGAGTTGTATTGAAAATTTAGCCAAAATTTAAGAGCCACAAAGATTGAGAAAAAGAAAAAGAAAGGGCTGGCAAATACAGGTTTTGACAAAGTTGGTAAGGAATTTTTCTTTCAATTCTATGTTAAAAACAAATTAAAAATTTGTACTATGAAGTTGGTAAGGATTGTTAAGTCTCACCTGTAGGAACAATTTTAATTGATAGTTAATACCAATTTTACGAGAGCGAAAAAAAAACAAAGAGAATGGACAAGGTTTGAGACATGGTGGGACCAATCAAATATCTGATTCATCACTCTATCATGATGATATTTAGAAGACTTTAGAAATTGATTGAAAGGCCATGATTGTTGCATGGAATTCTGCTTATATATTGCCTTTGGCTGCCCCTCTCTTATTGCTTCAAATTTTAACATTTTTTACAGATTTATAATTACACTTTTGAACTTAGAATTCTAGAAATCATGGACCTGTCGGAAATGAAACTATATTTTTCTTTTTCTTCACTGTAAAAGTGTTTAGAAATTGTTTGGTATTATTCTTTTTTGTTCTTTGAATCTTGCTTATATTTTTGAAATCTTCAGTGAGGCTCCCACATGGGCCCCTGGGACCTCCACTCTCAGAGACCTCTCTTTCATTGTTTTCACCCAGAGAAGAGATTAATTAACAAACCCTTTTCTTTTAATCTCGTAAAAATATGCTTTTAAGAGCTTAATGACAATTTATTAAGTGAGAGTTGCTAACTATTATGTAATTCTCGTGTGTTGGTATTTGTTGGAAGAGTAAACATGTTTTCCCCCGAGGTTTAGCGAAATCTCAAATTGATATCCCTAGTTGCATTTATTTCATATTACCACCTTAAGGCTTAAACCAACAGTGTTAACAATTTTTAGAGTGCTATTATCATATTGCCCTTGACAAATAAATTAATAAATCATTTTTTAACCCCCAAATTAGTAGAATTAAAAATAACCATTTTAAGTTCAAATTTATTTCAATCCCACCCTCTTCTTTAACCTTCCTCCTCCACCTCCATATTCAAGATTAGGGTTTTTCACACTTTGCCGATTTTCGATAACTCCGGTGACTCAAATCACAATTGACACCACCCTTAGCCTCACAATCATCCCTTTAACAAAACCCCTATCATCCCCAACCCGTAGCACTCACCGATCGCCGCCAAATGCCCACTGCGTTTTCGCGTACTTTCCCTACTTTACGGCTATTTTTCGGTCATTTTTTACATCACAAATCCTCCTTGTTCCTCCTTTCTACAAAACCCTTACGTCCTCTAGCTCCCCCAACTTGCCGTTTGTTGCTTGTGATCTCCTTTCCCATCGCCATTTTTGTGACTCCAACCATCTGAAAACAGTCGGATTTTTGGTGTTGATTTGTTGTGTTGCTATTTGAAGGGTTTAGGTTGCGGTTGTGTTGTAATTTTCTGGTCGCCGACCATTCCCCCATCACCTACAACCTTGCTGGTTCGTTATGCACACCAGCTGTACAAGTTTATTCCCCAACCAGAAAACCAAAATTAAACTCCCCTCACCTACAAAATGCTTTCGTGCCGCATGTGCCAACTAGCACGTGTGATTTACTTGCAACGGTAGAGGGAGGTCACGGGCAGCAAAAAACGAGTGGAAGGGGGGTTAAAGGAGGTTGGGGTTTAGAAGGGGAGGATGGAGGTTCGAATGGTGAATGTGTGATGGGTCAATTGACTGCATAATGGGTTGGAAATCATGGGGGTAATGGGGGTTTTGTTAAGGGGATGATTGCGAGGCTAGGGGTGGTATCAATTGACTCAATTGTGATTTGGGTCCCCGGAGTCGGCAAAAAATCGGCAAAATGTGAAAAACCCTGATCTTGAATCTGGAGGTGGAAGAGGAAGGTTGAAGAAGAGGGTGGGATTAAAATAAATTTAAACTTAAAATGATTATTTCTAATTCTACTAATTTGGGGTTAAAAAATGATATATTAATTTATTTGTCAAGGACAATATGGTAATAATACTCTCTATACTTTAAAAATGGTTGAAACCGTTGGTTTAAGCTTTTAAGGTGGTAATATGGGGGTAAGCCACTCGTGGAAACATGTGGTTTACTCTTGTTGGAATTAGTTGGCTGAATGAAATGTGAATTGATTTTAACCAGACATTTCAAGTCATACCCTACTATTGAGCTGACATGTTTGCAATCATTCTAGGTATAGTGGCTGTCACTAACTGGAATTGGAACTCAACTAATAGTTTCCTCCAACAACGAGAAGAAGAAGAATAGTACACGTTTGTGATTCTCGTGTGCTCTAATTACTGCTTGATTTGACAAAATTACTTAATGAATAGAATTGAATACTGAGAGAGCTTTAGGGCTTCTGATTCTCCGAATAATTTCCAAGGAGTAATTTGAAGTGGGACATGGATGATGGATGGGTTGACGTGTTGAGCATACATAAGGCACACGCATGTCAAAAGCTAAAAAGAATATTTAACAGTGAACTGCTGCCGACTGTCTGTAGCTGTGGTGGCTGAGTGCCGTCAAACAAATAACAATACATTGACATCCCCACTGCAACTACTATTCTCCTACTTTATATGCTTATTTTTGTGGTGGGGGGATTGCTTATCTCCTGCATTTGTAAATGTGTTGTTGTAAATTAAGCTGATATTTGTAATGGTTCCCTATAATCCAACCTGGATTTAATGCTGATGGGTATATAAATCAAATCAGAATTTATTCAGAAGATCCTCCACTCTGCCTCTTTTTTTATCTTTTTCAATAAAACTTTTTGAAACTAAGGGGTATTAAGATTGTATGTCTGTTTTATTCGTTTAAAATTCTAACTTTGCAGGCTCTTTTTATCCATCAGTCGCATCCCTTAGTCAGTCTAAAGGATTATAAAAACAAAAGTAGATCAAGAAAAGACAGCGTCTGGCCGACCAGCTGCGTCATTCTATGAAAACGATGCCCACCTTCAGATCTAAAAATTTAAGCTTTCTGATCCATAAGAACAAACCTCATGAAAGCGGTTATGGTATAAAGTTTCCTTGAAACACAAGAAAACACGAAATTAGATAGGTTAATTTCAATATTATATTGGAAATTAATAAATCAGATAGTTGAAAAATTAACAAGTGGGGAAGTTGCTGAGAGAGTGATTGTTTATAGTTACAGTTATTGTTGTTGTTGTTGTGGGGGAAGTTGGGAGGGTCTTTTCATGGAGAAAGAAAGAGAAAGATGACTGTGATTGAAGTAACGGGTGAGAGTGAGTGAGTGAGTGGGGAGCTGGGAGGATTTTGCTGAGAAATTAAAATGCGAGGGTGGGGGATGTTATCATATAGTTTTTCTTTTTGCAGTGAAGGCCGAAGGGTGGTCCAAAGTGGAGATGCTATTCAGAATATGTAATCTATATACACATATTGGAATTTGATTTGGCAGGATTTAAGAGGCTCCATCCTTTTTTTCTTTCAACTTCCCTTAGACATTTTTACATGGATGCAAGTTTTCATGTTTCCCTCCACTCATTGCTTCCAAGACTCTAACCATCTCTCCATTTTTCATATATATATATTCTTATTAACTGCAACTTTTGTCCCTTTTCCTAATTTGTTTCCCCTTTCTGGTTTAATTAATTTAGTTTGTCCCTCCCATAAATTGCAGGAAATTTCTTGTTAATGGGTTGCTTGAATAAATGAAAACAAATCATGTTTTGAGTAAAATATAGACAACTTACTGCACACTTAATTAGTGCATAAACCAATAGTTAATGTGCCATTTAGATTTGCCATAACCAGGTAATTAAGTAACTAGTTTTGGATTATGCAATTGCGGAACATTCACACTACTAATTTTTTTACATATATAATATAAGAAACCCAGCCCAGTTTGAAATAAATTACTGATGATGAAATGACCACGATTTAGAGCTGCCCAGTAATTGTTTAAGCCACCAAATTACAGTTGTCGCCAGGCGAGTGAAGATGAGAACAGTGGTCTTCGGTTCATTGTGGAATTCGATTATCCATATCTGATCATCACTGGTACACTGGCAAAGTCAGGAATATGATAATATCTGCTCTTTCTGATTTATCTCTCTCTCTCTCTCACTCACGTGGAGGAGCTAGCAGCAATATGCATTATGAAACCCTTTCTGATACCTGTATAATGAACGTGCAAACTTTGTATTTATAGGAATAGGATACATACTAATTTCCTTCTGAATTTGAAACCTTCTTCTTTGTTTGCTTATACAATGTTTTTTTCTCAATGCAATATTGTTCCCATACCTCTTTACCTTACAATTTCTTAACTAACTGGAGCTTATACGAGGGGTTTGTATGAAGTCAAATCATATATATGATGAGGATGAAATTTGTGGCATTGATTAATTCCTCAGAAATCGTCTTTCACACTTCACAGTGGATAACAGCCAAGCCTCATAGGTCACGTAGCAAATCAAATGTAAACCGCGTACGTGACACTATAAGGATATGGAATTTAATAGATAAGCTAATGTAACTTTAACTCCTAGTCTATTTCATCACTGTATTTTTTTCCATGAAGGTGTGATTTGTCTACTAATTTGACATTTATCAGAATGTATAACACGTCTTGGATATTAATTAGAAAAATGAAATACATGTTTGTAGAAAACTATAAATATACCCACTCTTAGATAGCTCAAGTGGTAGGATGAGTACTGGGATATATGGTTAAGATGTACGGTTTCAGGTTCAAATACCCTTAATTCTCAAGATTTAAGTGTGTGATCTTAGCGGTGGGATGCTAATGTTGTGCCAATCACCTACACACCTATCGGGATTAGTCGAGGTTTATATAAAACCCTGAAATTGATTAATTACATAAATTTAATCTGATATTGAGAAAAAAAGAAAGTCTAGAGAAGATTTATATATGTGCTATTCATTATCTTTTGTAGACAGCCACATATTCTCTTAATAATTTGATGGTACTGTGCATCTTGTAACATGGGCGTATGTAGAATAAATAGGAAGCTTAAGGAAGAAGAGATTGAGAAAGAAACATTCCTTTCAGGTTCAGCGTATACAAGTTGACCAGAGTACACCGCTACGCTGAATTTTTGTGCCAAACCAAAAAGCAACAACAATTCTCTTAGCACAAAACTGGATGTACGATCTCATGCACCTGCTGCCCCAATAATAAAATCCTTCAAAAACCAACAAAATTTAACAGCCCAACTCACCTTCTTTACAAAATTAGGGTATTCAATTATTATGGAAGGAGAAAGATCAGCACTACCAAACTACGACCTACAAGTTTCTTTCACTACGCCTCAACCCATCCATGAAATGGGGTTTGTTCAGTTTGAAGAAAACCAGGTGTTGAGTTTCTTGGCCCCAGCTTCCAACTCACAGTCACAATCTCATCAATCTCACCCTCTTAATACTACCAACTCTACTGCTACTACTACCACCATAGGGTTTACTCATAACGACCAGGTGGTTTATTTATTTTTCTTTGTATTATGTTGTTCTTTTATGTCTTTTGATTATTTGGTTGTTGATTTGCTTCATTTTGTAATCGAAAATTTTAGGTAGGGCCGTTAGATCCCAAGGCTGTTAATGACGAGAATTGCACTGGTAATGATGCCAACAATTCATGGTATATTTCTGTTACCTTTCGTCTTCTTCTTCTTCCTTAATTAATCTTCTGTTATGGATCCTTTCTCTACCTCTTTCTCTTGCTCTACCTTCACAGGCACACACGCACGAACGCACGCATACCAAAGAAAATATTCTTTGATCCTTTAACAAAATCTAGAAGAGATCTAGCCATGTGTGGATAAAAGATTGCTTCAGTCTAGTCGTGTTATAACGACCCCCCCACCCCCTATCCCATCGAACCTCCCCCCCGCCTTCCTCTCTCTCTCTCTCTCTCTCTCTCTCTTTTAGTGGGTCTGAATAAACAAGTACTCGATCTATCAAAGTCTTGATACACATTGAATACCCGAATCCACTCGTCCTTTGACAGATTTATCTTTATAATTCCAAGTTATATTATATATGATTCCTTTGATTCTGTTCTATGGAATATAAAAGTAGGTAGTCTCTGAGTACTAGTTGGAATTTTGGCAGGTGGAGGAGCTCATCCTCAGAGAAGGGCAAGGTCAAAGTTAGAAGAAAGCTTAGAGAACCCAGGTTCTGTTTCCAAACAAGGAGTGACGTAGATGTGCTCGATGACGGTTACAAATGGAGAAAATATGGTCAGAAAGTTGTCAAAAACAGCCTTCATCCACGGTAATACATATTTTGATTTCTTAATTATCTCTAAATTGTGTATATATGCACCCCAACTTCATGGTTAACTAATAATTAATTAATTAATTAATTTATCTTCTCAGACTAATGTTTATTACACTGGTTTTAATCATATTCATGCACGGTTTGCTTTTATTTATTCTGCTAATTTCATTGGATTTATTCAAGAATATTAGTTTTCAATATGCTTTTAGATCGATATTATAGTCAAGATCAATATTCATGAAAGTTTATCAAATTGCTAGTAATTAATCCCTGGATAAGTTTTAATAATTTTTACTATTAACCGGCAACAACATTTGAACCAGTACACAATGAAACGTGGGAAAATAGTTTCTTAGGAATTATCACACCTGGAAGAGAATATTTATGGTACACTGTCACAACCATTTCGGCTTCTTTCAATCATTGAAAATTGAAATTATGAAAAATAAGAACGAAGCGGGTGCTAGGTACTGTTTCCATTCTATCCATATAATCTACCCAAATTTGCAATTCTTTCTTAGTTGGTGTAGTTGCATATCTGATAGGTAGGTTTGTCTCCTTCAAATCTAAGCAATCCCTTTGATAAATATATTCAATGCTTTATTGCTCTTAATCAATCTTGCCTTTCCCTATTTAAGTACCCGAAATCGTCTTCACAAACCTTCCTATATATATATATATAATGTTTTAGAAACCCAGGAAATTGTATATATTAATTTTTTGGCCCATTTCATTTCAGTACATTGATGTAGTCATCAATAGCTGATTCTACAGTTATCAACTGCAATTCAAATATATTTCATTTTCTACCATCTTAGGATGCTCTCTAATAATGTTTTCTTTGGGTTAACGCATTGAACCTTCTTATTGCATGTTTTCGTTGGTTTGCGAAATATTTACTGAAATTATTATAAACATGCAAATTAATATGACTAAAATTATTAAATAACCACCATTTTAACATTTTGCGCACAGTCTAATTGAGTGCATGCATGATGTAGTAAAAAACACAGAAAATTTATTATAAGTAAGATTGGCATTTGATCTTTATCATTATAGGAGTAGAACTCTATATCATGTTATAGGAGATCAAAGGAAGTGATCTATTAATTGATCATGGATATTGATGGGGTGACTCGTAAAAGATGTTTGTTTTGTAATACATGTACATCATATCTTTTATAATTAACTAGTTGAACTAATTTATCTGATTTTTGTCGTTTAATAAATGGCAGAAGCTATTACCGGTGCACGCACAATAACTGTCGAGTGAAGAAGAGGGTTGAACGACTTTCTGAGGATTGTCGAATGGTGATAACAACTTATGAAGGTAGACACAATCACTCTCCTTGTGATGACTCAAATTCGTCTGAACATGAATGCTTTACTTCTTTTTGATTAGTTGCCATGCTCATATCCATCATTGCTGTAATGAATGAATTTGTATTTTATATTAATTCTTCTCTCTCGAAGATTGATCTATCATCTGAGAATTAGAGGATTCTCTTAACTATAAGAACTCTAGATCTGTTAATACTATAGTAAGTAATATTAATAGATCAGTTATGCTGTAGTTGAAATTAATATATAGACCCTCATTTATTATGTTCCAAAGTTGCATGCTAGAAAACTATATATATTGCCTTCTCTTGGTACAATATTTGTATATATTTTGATCTGTGATGACTCAAGGCAATAACGAAATCCTTTTCAGTTCAGTTGAAGTATGAAGACACCAGAATCCTTTCCCAGTTAATTTGTATGATAGATCTTAAATTTGATACTCTATCAATAGTTATTTCTATAAGTAATTAAAGGATTTTCTTCAAATCACACGTTAGATTATGTACTAAAATTACACGTTAAATTCTGATAGTGAAATGTCTTCAAACAGAAGCATCAAATCTAGGGTTTTCAGGAACTGAAAGGTGCATGTCCGGGTCAAATCAAAGTCAATCAAAGAGTTCCTTAAGCCATAGGCATAGCTAGTTGTTGGCGCTAAGAGAAGCAAGTCAGTGTTATTGAGATAAAATAATTACACCATATATATACAGCTTATCAGGGTTACCTGGTATAAGATGGGGATGTGAATGGAGAAACTAATAATTTGGAAGGATCAGATCTGTTTATCAGAGATTCAAAAATACTCTCCCGGCTTCTGAAGGGCTCTTACCATATAAATTATCCTATTCTCCGATGCATGTATATGTACACTCTTAAACGAAAAGTAAAAAACTCAAGTCTGAATCAATGCAGCAGCTTTATTCCGTATTTCTAGTCACTACTGAATCTTGCACAGTGAACTAAACCAAAACACATATAGCGAAGCGATCATGCATATCCGATACCTCCAATATTAGCATGGATTTTGTGAGGAGTACACATCTTCTGGACGTACGTGTCCCACAAGTCTCTCTTTTGGCCTTTGGATATGTGTGGCGACACCAAAACCTCAATTACCAGCGGCTCTGCGACAGTGACTACATTCATTCATTTCTTCATCTCACTCATGCCCTGCTCCCTAATTTTACAGTATTCTTCCATTTATGGAAATTTATATATACAGAAGAAGAGCCTATTATTTCTTAATTCAGTATTCTTTTGCCTGCTCTGCGCGTGCACAGACCACAGTGCACTTCTGCATTGAGATACCCCACTCTCGATTTATGCAAATTCTCTTACAAAATCATTAGTAGTCCTCTGAGGACTCAGATACAGGATCTGGTCCATCACTACAAAAACGATTGACCTGATAAATATATAACCAGATTAGCAAGAACTAATTAAGATTATGTATAGTACTGTATATTAAGACAACCACTTATGCATATATTTGCTGTATTTTAGTCACTTGCAAGGAAAAATTTATCATGCAAATTTAAAATTGTATCCATCGTATCCCTTACAGAAACTTAGACCTAACTTTCTCTTAATTATTGCACGGGCAGCCATGGTTTTTTTTTTTTTTTTTTTAATATGTATGTAACAATTAGGGCATCTCATCACACAGTTTGATGAAACTGATAGATATCAACAACATGCGATGCGTTTCCGATCAATAAAATTCAATATAATCTGCAGAGTAATAATTTATTGTAAATATTAATTTATTACGTATAGAAAGAAAGAGGGTGTGGAGGCCGAGAGAAGACTCCAGCGTTGCGTGTGTGCAGTGTAGAATTTATCTCTGTATGAATAAAAGCATGTGGGATTGGACTTCTTCAATAACTATCTTGGGCTTTATCATAAGAGATGTGAAGTGGGTTACTGACTCCACCGTAAGTGTTTCTAAACACCCCTACAAAATTTCTAAGACGGGTCGGATCAAGGCTAAAATAGTGTATTATGAAACATTAACCTTATACAAAAGAATAATGCTAACCTTACTCACTCTTCTTACTCACTTCTCTTACTCAAATTTGTTAAAATACTAATCTTATCCACTTTTTCACCACTTTTTTACTATTTTAACAAAGGTGAATAAGAGAAGTGAGTAAGGAAAGTGAGTAAGGCTAGTATTACTCTATACAAAATACTATGATATTGAAACTTGAAAAAAAAATCAAGCAATTAGGCTCCGTTTGGTACATATATTGGGAAAACTATTCCCAATAAAGTTAACACAAAATTTGTGTTTGGTTTACCTATTTTCAAAATATAATTCTAAATTATTCAATTTCTTTTAAATCTCTTAAATTTGTTAATTTAACTAAACAACCTCAAATTTTTTTTTTTTTTTTTTTTAAATTAACAAAAACACCTCAGCAACCCAAATTTACCAAATTCCGGCCACCATTGTCAGAAGCTGGCCGAAATCTGATGTAATAGCGCACTATCGGCTGAATCTGACCGATAGTGTGCCGATCTAGCCTTTTCAGGACAGATCCATGATGGATTTGGTAAAAAAAGGCTAAATCTACGGCCAAAGATATGTCCATCAACGGCCAGATCTTTGGCCTGACAGTTGTCAACAATGGCCAAGATATGGTTGTTGTTGACCATCAACGACAACCGTATCTTTAGCCGTCGTTAACAACCAAATGCGGCTAGATCTGACCATCAATGGCCAGATCTATGCACGACCGGCAAGATCCAACCGGTCATGCGTCGATATGACAACTCTGGCCACCCTCCGACAATGGTGACCAGTTGTTCGTATTTAATAAACATGGAGGTGTTTTTGTTAACTTTGAATATTTTATTATAGGAGTGTTTAGTAAATAAATAAACATAGGGGGTATTTTTGTTAATTTTTAAAATTCTCATAGTAATACCCACCCAATTTAACTTTTTTTCAAATTATTATTCTAAAAACTATCCAATAATTAACCTTCTAAAAACTATCCAATAATGAACCAAATGGATCCTTAATCTCTCATCGCTTTACTACTACCCTTATCTCTGTTTAAGCACCTATTCTCTGTTTCTTGACCAATTGCTTAATCTGAAGCTTTATATTTTTTATCAATTACAAATTTTTATTGTTCATATGTTGACTCCTTTTACTCAAAGAAATCTGCAGAAATTTTGGAATTTAATCAACCCCACCTCATCCTCACAAGTTCAGTAAACATGACAGAAAAATCAGTGTCCACAACATATGATATAATATATAAAGCTGCACATTAAGCAACAACACTTAGCGATATAGATAAATGAGATGAATCCAACAACAGTCACACTGCTGTTTTTAATTTTTAGTGTTTCCTATTTTACATATCATAATTATAACTGATAAAAATAAACATCTGCCAGAAGCTCTGCGTATGTTAATTCAATAGCAGAAGATGATCTAGGAAACATGGTTATCTTGGATATAATTTCCTCGGCATTCTCAAGACTTTTCACCCAGTGTATATTCATTTTCTGTAGTACACCACAATACTTTAGCAGATACCTCACTAATTCAAGCTCATTCTGGCAACCTGCAACCTCAAAAAGCTCAACCGTCTTGAGAGTAAATTTCAAACATGAAAAAGCTTCATCTGGCATTTCCCATTCATCATAATCACACTGTCAAGTGAAAAACATATCAAGTACCAGTAAGTACCAAGAATAGAGGGATATAAGAGAATAAAATTTATAAGCAAAGGAGAGTAAATGGAATACCCTTTAAACCAACTAACCAATTAGGTATGTCAAAATACATTCCAAATATCATTTACTTTTGCCAGTTGTAACAAAATGTGACTATAGGGTACAAAAATTTTTGGGACAAATCCGAGATGGCAATTTTTTTTTTTTTTTTTGGCCATGCATCCCAACCCAACCATCCACTACAAGATATCTAACCAACTAGGTTATTTTCTTGCACACATTCGACTTTTGTATCTTTAATCAGGTATATCAAGTTTGAGCTTAGACGCAGAATTCCTTTATTTGTGCTAGTACAAATTTCACAAGGATGGGCAGCAGAAGAACAGTAAGCTATTCAGGTGCAATATGTAAATCTGAAGACAATGATTTATTGTATCTAAGACACTCAAAGAGCACAGAACTTCATACAAGACTAGACATGCTCTAAAAAACAGGAGCAGTACTCCAATTTACTGCAAGACAACTACACACACATCTCTAACTCATATACAACATGAACTTAACTCTGGCTGTGTCACCCTGATTGGAAAAGCCAGCAATAAAATGCACTTCTGAAAATTTGTTTTTCAGTAGACCAATAGCATATCCAGTTAACATCGCACAAAAAAGAAAAAAATTGTCCAACAGGAGCAATAATTTCATTTAGGAGTCAAAAATTACCTCTCCTAAATACATCTTGAGAGTTTCTAGATTGGGAGCGTTGCATAGCAAGGAGAAAATATGCTTCTCAATAGCGCCCACCATCATTGTTAAAGTCTTCAAATTATAGAATGAAACAGGGAACCACTTAGCTGGCATAGCAAGTTCATCAGTAAACTGTAGGCACAAACAACAAGAGAAATTAGAAACCATAATGCAATTGAAGCACAAGCATTACCGAAAGAATTCAGAACTAATGAAATACGTAAATATTAATTATTCAAGTTGAATATTCTAAGATAAAGGAATATGGAACCATACCTCTAAGTCTCCATAAGATAGTCTGAGAACTTCTGTTTTGCAAACTCCTTCAAGCAACTTTAAGATTTTATAGTTACTTTCATAATACTCCATGGTATCAATTGCCTCAAATTTGGAATCTAAATAAATGTATACATTCTTTAAAGGGTTTAGACCCTCCAAAAGGTAGTCAGCTGCTGATGGACCAATGAAAATGAAAGTGGCAAGATTTGGGCAAGCTACCTTGAGTTCACAGTTCTCTAAACCATCACAGTTGTGCTCAGCACCATTATTTATAGTCAAACTCTTCAAACTGGCCCTGGAAATATCAAGAATTCCGAAATCACGGAAAATACATGCTTCCATACTCAGATTCTCAAGGAGGGGACAACTTGAAATGAAGTTTCTAAACAGATTAGAATCCGAGAAATCAATCCTCACAAATTCCAGAGCGTTGAGCCGGCTAAAACCAACAAAAGTTGGGAGCTTTACAGCACAATGGAAGTCAAAATTTAACTTCAAAACAAGCAAAGATTCACAAGTAACAAGGCAGTGAGGCAACTCAAATGGCGCCAAAGAGTACATATTGAGATCAAGCTCTTCAACATTTCGCCTCGCGACGATGTTAATCCATCTGTAAAGCGTGTGATCACCACCACGATGGTAGCACCAAAGACGAAAGGTTTTTAAATTAATAGACACATCTTGAGACATCAAAACCCAGTTGACAAAATCTTTGAATTTGTCGATGATCGTATTAATTGACCACTTTGCTTCTGCGTCTGACCAAACTGTGTCGATATCCAAGTTTAAGTAAGGCATTGAAAGCCACAAGTACCTCCATCTTCTCGAAACAGCGCTTAATCTGATAATGTCAATGGTTTCAAGGGATGAGAAAATTTTATGAATGATGGGTTCTGGCAAATTGCTAAATCTATCACCAACTTCACAAACATTTGTTGTTTTTGGAATTTTAGGGTTTGGATTTGGGGTTTCAAGAATGTCCATTAGCATTTTGGATGATTTGGGTTTGATTTTGAAAAAGTGAGCATCTCTCAATTATTTTATCCGGTGAAAATGGTTCCCCAACTGGGGAGTGGGAACCATTTAACCCGTAACCTATCATATTCTATTCCTCCTATGAATGATTATTAAATTTCTATTTCTCCTATGAAAGAATATTATTATATATTCAACAGTTTCAGGAGTGTACACATATTACAATTAAACAAATGAAGCAAGGTTTGATTAATTAAATTGGGTAATCAATCAATTAAAATCACATCATGTTCATGAAAAATGTCATCTGTAATGAAAGTTTGGGTGTATCTATTCTATTTGGGCTCCCGTCCTTTTCTTCTTACAAAATTTTACATCTTATTTGTCCTTTTCATTTCCTCATCGGATGTGAGTTGCTCTGTAACATTTACGAATCTGTTCATTCCTTGGATCAGAATTTTCTGGAAAATATAGAATAAAACAGAGTTTACAGGAATGTATTAGAATACACGTACTAAGTAATTTTCACTTAACGGTGTAACATTTGCCCTTGATCAGAGAGTTTGGTTTGATGACTGGTTGTAATTGGATGAGATGATCTGGGTTTAGCTATCAATCTGTACTTCCCAGATGTAAAGGATTTGAAATTTTGAATCATTTTACAATTGATGTCCTTCTGCTGATTATCGAGAGACCTTGAAAAGGAACATATTATGCAGATTTTACCATATAGAAATGAATCATGAAAATGCAAGAAGAGAAAATTCCAATCATATAGAACTAGTAAACATAGCAAAATGCAAAAACCTGGAAAGTCATAAGACTACAAGATCACTACCCAAGTAAAACATGAATAACTACAGAACTGACCTGTGAATGTAGTAATAACGATTACGTCGAGCAACATACCCTTTTTTTCACCATTACAAATCATGACTATGAATGATAAAAGTAAACATCTCAGTCAGGCTGCTCGAATATCAGCTCAACATTTGAAGATGTAGGAAGCGTCATTACTCTAGACATAAGTATATCCTCCCTGGGATTCTTAAAACCTGACCCCCAACTAATAATCATTTTCTGCAGGACATGTCCATTCTTCAGCAGAAACCTCACCAACTCAAGTTCCGTCCGCCTACCCAAAACGTTGATAAGCTCAACCTTCTTGAGATGATATGTCAAACATGGAATAGCCCTATCTCGTATTTGCCAAAAATAATAATCCTCATCATATTCATAATCTTCTTCTTCTTCTTCATACTGTCAAGTAAAGACATATCGAAGTGTTAGTAAGCAACAAGAACAGACGAATTACTAGAATAAATTTACAAAGAAAAAGGGCAAAAAGGCATTGGCTTAATATAGGTTACTCCAAAAGACCCGCTAGAATCTAGATGGAACACTGGCCAAGGTGGAATTAAACTTATGTATCCTCCAAAAGACAATAAACTTCACAATTGCATTAATAGAAACCATCCATTGAACGCATCCAATTCCACAAAGAAGTAATACTCTGTAGATATTTCTTCATGGACTTTTACAATGACTATTACGATTCAATGTTTTACTAAACTCCAGGTGGAATTAAACTTATGTATCCTCCATCATTTTACATGCAGGTATTTATGCCACTTCAGTATCAGTGCATCATGTGAGATTTTAGATGCAGAGTCCCTTCAAGTTTTGCTACTGAATAATTGCACGAGGATGGAAATGACACAACCATTTAAAGGAAACTAAGACTGTCAAGGCGTGGAAGTAACCAAGTCATCTACTTTTGACAGAATGGATTTCAACTACCACATTGGCTTGTACACTTAATACTGCAAAAGAAAAAAGAACTAAAGTCTAACCAGAAAAAATAACAAATGTTTTCGGAGTTGAAATTACCCATTCATAAAATATTTCAAGAGATTCTAGATTGGGAGAGCCGTTGAGCAGGGTGATTATATGATCCGCTTCAATGAGCACAAACAGTAATAAACTCTTCAAATTACAGAACGAGACGGATAAGCCATTAGGCAGAGCGAGCGGATAAACAAACTGAAGGCAAAACAGCAAAAGAAAAAAACCATAAAGCAACAGAGGTGACATATTCAAGTTTAAGTCCAAATAAAAGAAAGAAAAAGGTAATATGAATATGAAGACGTACCTCCATACAGTCAAATGATAGTTTTAAAACTTCAGTATTGCAAACTCCCCGGAATATTTTGCACAATTCATAAACACAAACGTCAACATCTGGAAAGTTTTCTTTGCTATCTAAGTGAAGGTACACCTCCTTCAAACAGTTTAGGTTCTCCAAAGAATAGTCTGGTGCTGATGGGCCCAAGAAATTAAAAGCCACAAGATTTGGACAATCCACCTTAAGCTCACAGTTGTGTAAACCATCACACTCTTCACCCCTATTGCCTTCTATGTTATTATGTATAGTAAGAATCTTCAAATTAGTTGAACAAATATCTAGAATCTCAAAATCACGTAAAATACATGCTTCCAATATCAATTTGTCAAGTAATGGACAATTTGAAACAAATTCCCGAAGCAAGATGAAATCTGAAAACTCTACCCTTAAAAAATCGAGAGTCTTGAGACGGCGAAAACCACCAAAAGTAGGGAGCTTCACTACACGGGGCGTGTCAAAACATAACTTGAATGACATTAATGATTCACAAGTTATGAGGCACCGGGGCAACTCAAACGGCACGTCGGAAACTAAATTCAGGTCAAAATCCTGAACATTTCGCCGCGTAACAATATTAATCCATCTATAAAGCGTATTATCTTGAGCGAAATGATAACAAAAAAGACGACATCGTTGAATATCAACGGAGCTATCTTGAGACATTAACACCCAGTTGACAAAATCTTTGAATTTTTCGATCAATGTATGAAAAGACCGATTAGCAAGTGGTCTTGACCAAACAGTGTTAATATCCAAATTTAAGTAGGGCATTGAAATCCATAAGTACCTCCAGTTTCTGGAAACGGCGCTTAATCGGATAAGATCAATGGTTTCGAAGGATGAAAAGATCTGGTGAATGATGGAATCAGGCAGATTGCTAAATCTATCACCATCTTCAAGTTTCTGGTTTTCAACGGTGTCTACCATTTTCATTGATTCGGGTTTAACTCCGCTGGTCAGGCGTTTCAGTTATTTATAGATGTAGGGCAACATTCTGGAAGTGGGGAACTCGTTTAACCAGTATCCAAACAGAACATACATACACATTCTACTGGGACTGGGCCCTCAACATTTGGGCCTTTGACAACATCAGAGTCCAGGAGACTTTTAAGTACAGCCGAATAATTTGAGTTAATTTAACCGTAGTTATTTAAAATGAATTTTATAATTTCCAATGATTGCTGTTGTGGCCATTTCTTGGAAACCAGAGTGGTGGAAGCTGTTGAGCAAATCGCATGTTCCTCAAATATAATCTTTGATGATCTGGTTCAAGCTTTCAATCTGTACCAATATAATGAACGTATTATTCATTTGTAATTTCAAATGGTTTTGGCTAATATTCTGAGAAACCAGAGTCCTCTTTTGAGCTACATATGTATGGGTCATCATCCAAATAGGGGTGTAGCCAAGCCGAACCATTCGCGAATAGCTCGGGCTTGACTCGAGAAAAGCTCAAGTTTGGCTCTGCTTGAGTTGAGTCGAGCTCGAGCTCAAGCTGCTCAAGTGCCTTTTCAAGCCAAGCCCAAGCCACCTAGTGCTCGGCTTGATAGGCTCGTGAGCCTCCAGGCTCAAATTCAAAAGGGTATGAGTGTAAGTTTTTCAAGTATAAGGGTGTAAATGCAGTTTATTATTTTACATATAAATTGTTTGTTCCAAACACCCTACCACATTTTTCTTCCCAGCCGACACTTATCCTTTCTTTTCTCTTTCCTATTTTTTTAACGGGTTGTTGGTGGGTTGCTTTGGACTAAAGATTATTAAACGAGCTGAGCTTCGAGCTTAGCAAATCATCTCGAGCCTGGTTTCCAAAGCTCGTCGAACCCAAGCTCAAGCTTGAGTTCGCTAAATTTTCCTAAGCCGAGTTTCGAGTCCTTTAGTGTTCGGCTCGGCTCGTATACACGATACAGCTCTATTCCAAACTCATCATATGATGATCCTGCTCAGAGAGTATAACTAACAGAATTTCAACACCAGACATCTGTACCTCCCCAGAAGGCAATGAAATTAAAATATAAATGAAGGCTTGGGATCTTGATACAACCAGTGCCCTCCAGAAGCAATCATGCCAATGTGTTAAATCATTCATGAAAAGAACGGAGAATAAATAATCTGCAACTCCTTCACTTGGCTACCCACCACAGAAGAGAATTCGTACTATATTTCATTATAAAAACTAGCAATCGTGACCAACAACAGAAAAAGAAAAAAGAAAAAAAAAAATTGCAAACAATAAACCTTAGAGAATCATCCAGTTGTAGGATCACAACCAAATAAACATCCAAATAATCCTTTACATTAAACCATACGAGCCTAATTCCTAAAGTCATACCACTGCTTTTCTTTTCATTTTTCTGTATCATAAGTCATAAAAGTAAACATCTGACTTAGGCTCAAAGAATGTCAACTCAACATCAGAAGATGATCTAGGAAACCTCATTATCTTTGGGATAATCTCCCCAGGATCATTAATACCTCTCACCCAGTTAATACTCATTTTCTGCAAGACATGCCCCTTATTTAGCAGAAACCTCAATAGCTCAAGTTCATTCTGATTACCTTCAACCTCAAACAACTCAACAATCTTGAGATAATATGTTAAACACGAAATATCCTTGTCCAGTATTTCCCAGACATCAACATCACACTGTCACATGTCAAAAGTGAAAACACATTGAAGTACTGGTAAGTAACCAATGTAAAGGAATTAAGAGAATATAAACTTTGCAAGTACCAGTAAGTGCAAAACAACCATATATTGCACCTTTGGCAAGACTGGACTTTTACCACACTGACACCATATCCAATAATACTACACAAGTAAAAATATGTCTAACAAGAGAGAGAATGTTAGGAGCTGAAATTACCCATTCAAAATATATTTTAAGAGCTTCCAGATTGGGAGAGCAGTTAAGCAAGGTGATTAGTGCTTGCATGTGCCGTTCATCCATGCCCACCAAAATTGTCAAAGACTTCAAATTCAAGAATGCACCCGTGAAGCTCTTTGGAACAGAGAGTCCATCAAGAAACTGAATGCTCCACAAGGAAAAAAGATTAGAATCAATGGAAGTTCAACAACAACAAGAATAATTTAACTAACTATTAACAACTTATGTAGAGTAATTTTTCAAGTGACATCAAACAAAAGTCAGAATGAATACAAAGCCCCAAAGGAAAATCTGATGAAATTAAAAAGAGGAAATGAGAATGACTGCATTAACAGAGACGAATAGCAAATTTCCACGGCAAGACATTACTACATCATCATCACTATCACAATTCACAACACAAGAGTCATTCATCAAATATAAATCAAACTGGAATGTAAACACATACCGGCAAATTACCAACTGATAGTTTCAAAACTTCAGTATTGCAAACTCCTTCAAGGATTTTACACATTTCATAAGAACAGTCTTGGTAATTTGGAATTTCACTCTTGGATTCCAAGTGAATAAACACATTTTTTAAAGAGTGTAGTTCCTCAAAAGAGTAGTCAGGTGCTGATGGACCTATAAAACTGAAAGACGTAAGATTCGGGCAAGAAAGCTGTAGCTCTATGTTGTGTAAACCATCACAGTCATGAATACCACCATTATGTACACAGAGATTCTTCAAACTAGCCGAAGAAACTTCAAGAATCTCAAACTCACGAAAAACACATGCTTCCATAATTAAATCCTCGAGAAAAGGACTATTTGAAATAAAATTTTCAAGCACACTAAAATCTTTAAACTCAACTCTTAATAAATCAAGAGACTTGAGGCGGCTTAAACCACAAGTAGGCAACTTGAGAACACATGAGCTGTCAAAACATAACCTCAAAGAAACCAATGATGCGCAATTTACAAGGCAACGGGGCAACTCAAATGGTGTGTGTGAAATTATATTAAGTTCAAGCTCTTGAACATTTCGCCTAGCCACAACATTGAGCCATCTATAAAGCGTAGTATCATCGGAAAAATTATGGCAAAAAAGACGAAATCTTTTAATATCAATTGACCTATCTTGAGTGAGCAAAATCCAGTTGACAAAATCTTTGAATTTGTCAATAATTGTATGAATGGACCACTTGGAAAGAGGGTCCGACCAAACTGTGTTGATATCCAAGTTCAAGTAAGGCATTGAAATCCATAAATACCTCCATTTTCTTGAAACGGCGCTTAATCTCATGACATCAACGGTTTCCAGAGATGATAATATTTGATGAATTATGGGATCCGGAAGACTGCTAAATCTATCACCAGCTTCGTTGGCATCACCCATCATTCTTGGAATTTTTGGGTTTCCGTCCATTTTCGTTGATTCAGGTTCAGTGCGAAGATTGCAAACTACAAATGAGAGCGTTACTTGCGTAATGGCGACTACTATTATATAGCGGGCCGAATCGGGTCAGAATTAGGCCTACTACTATTCCATTACTAACTATTAAAAATTAAATATTAAACCCTCCATAATCAATTTCCTAAGTAGAGGAAAATTTGAAATAAAATTTAACCAAGATTTTACTGATAAAATATTGGCTGTTTGAAGAAATGATTTAAATCCAATACTTTGACACAAATGAGTAAATTTAGGGCTCTAGTAGCGAGAGCTTGATTTGTAAATCACTCTGCGACAATTCAACACTGTCAATAACCATCAGAAAGCATGAGGAAGCGAACAGTTAACTTTTAGAATCATCACTAAACACTGGCCATAGTGATGGGTGCTAATACAAATTTTTTAAAAAAGAACCTTTACATTAAGCTAAAACTAACCAATATATGTTAACATGAATCAAGCAGCAATCATACAACATATTTTTACATCTTTCATAACTCAGAAAACTCAAACTGAAACTTGGGCACAAGAAATTTCAGTGCAACCTCTGAAGATGTTTTCGGAAAATTCATTATCTCTGGGATAATCTCTTCAGCATCCTTGATGTCTATTGCCCAATTAATACTCATTTTCTGCAGTACTTGTCCATGCTTTAGTAGAAACCTCACCAACTCAAGTTCATTTTGTCTACCATTAACCTCAAACAGTTCAACCACCTTCACATGATATGTCAAACATGGAATAGCCTGATCTGGTGCTTCCCACTTACTAATTTCACACTGTCAAGAGAAAACATAATGAAGTACTAATAAGTAACAAAAAATTGCGGAATTAAATCTAACAAAGAATAAATTCTACAAGAGAAGAAGAAAAAAGAAATAAGTAAAGATGGCATGCTTTTTAACCAAAACCACATAGGTTTCTCTTATGTTAAGACACTCCAAATGTAGCACGGAACAGGGTGGCACATTAATTGTAAACTTCTACAGATCATAAAAATATGACTAAAAGTGACCATCCAGTGAACATATCCGATTCAGTAAGGCAACAACACTCTTTCACTATATGAACAATCTTTCTCCTGTGACCTTTAGCTACGACTATCAGCACTAAAAAATTTACATGTTTCCAACACTACAAAATTCTCTTTTGTTGCAGCACTAGCCCTTGAATATTAACTCCTACCTTCTAAATACTAAGCAACAGAGATCATATACAAAAACCAATTGACTGTAGTACAAACTAAAACAAATCATATGAAAGGACCCACTTTTTGTTAACCACTGCCAAATCCAATCAGCAATCCATAAGAGAAATTATGTTTAAGAAGAGCAGTAAGTTTAGATTTTCGCACTACCCTGTCAAAATATATTGTAAGAGCTTCTAGATTTGGAGAGCATTTGAGCAGGTTGACCATTAACTTCATACTCCAATCATCCATGCGCATCCTCAGTTTTAAAAACTTCAAGTTATAGAATGAAAAACATTGTACTTGAGCAAGTGCAGGGTAAAGGATATGGAGGCACAACTACAAGGAAAATTATAAACCATAAGGCAAAGAAAATGCAATAATTGAAAATAGAATTTAGCTACTAATATATATATATATATATATATATATATATACACACACACACACAGAGCAGTGGTTCAAATTAAGTCTCCAAAAATAGAAATTGGAACATTGATCACAGACCAATTTGCAAAAAGAACATCAAGTAAATGCTTTCAGTGTTTATAGAACATAAATCTCTAACATGAAAATTGTATCATAAAAATACAGATGAAGAAGAAAGAGGAACTACGAGAGGATGTCTACAAAGACAGCTTCACAAATCACATATCAGAATGCTCCTATATCATAACTAAATCAAATAACCAAGAATTAAGTGTAATATCAAAGATAAATCAAATAGAAAACCTTAAGGGAATGAGAGTAATGAACACGTACCTCCCAATTGTGAACTGATAATTTCAAAACTTTAATATTGCAAAGACCTTTGAAGATCTTACATATAAGAGGATGACATTCTTCAACAGTTGCATGTTGAGCGAGACATTCTATGCCAAAGAAAACGTTCCACAAAGATTTTATATCCTGAAGCGTGAAGTCCCGTGGTAAAGGACCAATGAAACTGAAGGACGACAGACTGGGGCAAGCAATCCTAAGCTCACAATTCTTTAAGCCATCACCATTGGCACCACTAATACCATTATTATCTATAACTAGTTTCTTCAAACTAGTAGAAGAAATCTCGAGAGTCTTGAAATCACGAAATTTAATAGCGTGCAAATTCAAATTCTCAAGAAAGGGACAACTTGAAATGAAGATTCGAAAGGAAATATAATTAGGTAACTCAACATTCAATAGAAAAAGATACTTTAAGCGCCTAAAGCCACCATAAGGAGGCAACTTTACAACAGTGTGTCTGCCAAAACAAATCTTCAACGATATGAGTGATTCACAAGTTATCAGACAATGGGGCAACTCAATTGGAATCTCTGTCCCTAAAAATATAACAAGATTAAGGTCCTCCACATTTCTCCGAGTCATAACATTGATCCATCTATAAATTGTATAATCATCATCAGAATTAAGGCAGTTAAGCCAAATTTTTTTTATATTAACCGACCTATTTTGAGACATTAAAACCCAGTTGACAAAATCTTTGAATTGATCATTGACAGCAAGAAGTGACAACGTTTTCATTTTGTCTGACCAAACTTTGTGGAAGATATCGAAATACAAGCAGGGCATTGAAAGCCACAAGTACCTCCATTGTCTTGAAACAGCGCTTAATCTGATAACATCAAGGGTGTCAAGCGATGACAATATGTGATGAAGAATTGGTATTGGAAGATTGCTGATTCTATCGTTGTCTTCCTCACTGTATGTGATTCTTGGAATTTTAGGGTTTTCAGGAATGATTGCCATTGGTTTTTTCCCCCCTTCTGGTGTAAGGTTTACTTAATATTCAATGGCCTCCTAATTGTTCGTCACCGATCACATTTACAATCTACTGGGCCGTATTCCGTCTCTCTTTGAATTGGTCTGTCTAATTAGGCCCATACGTAAACAATGTAGATCCAAACCAAAATTGTCCTATAGCTTTATCAAAATTCCAGAAATTGGACCATTCAAAACTTATAAATATGGATTACCCAAATTATAGAAGATGGAATTAGACAATACAACACTTTCCATAATAATTAATTCCATCCCACAATATTCGGAAGAAGATTTACATAAGCAAAAACTAATCAACTACATATTAACATAGATATAACCGACTGTTATACCACAATTTCTACCATGATTCCTCTTCTACATGTACAATACTTGAGGATGTTCGAGGAAATTTCATTACCTCTTCGGCAAGTTCCTCGGAATTCTGAACTTCTTTAACCCAACTAATACTCATTTTTTGCAACGCCTGTCCATGCTTTAGTAGAAACCTCACCAACTCAAATTCATTTTTGTTACCTTGAACCTCAAATAGCTCAACCACCTTCAGATGATTTATCAAGCATGAAATACTTCTATCCGGTAATTTCAGACGATTGAAATCTGACTGTGGAGTGAAAACAGAATGAAGTACAATATATTCTCAGTTTATATGAATGCCTTTTTTTACCAATGTGACCTGTGACTGAACAACAATTTTTATACAAGCCCGACTTCCCAAGAACTTATGTATCTTGTATATGATATCCATGCCTTTTGAGGTGTTATCATTCTCAAATTTACATCCAAAGTTTGTTCCAGTTTTGCTACCAAAAAATTCAGTAATGGAAGGTAATGATAGCTATGGAGATATATACCAAGTGTATGAATTTACGTATGTCTAGCAAATGGGACAAAATCTCCTTTTATTGCCTAACAACTACACTGAAGCCTGCAGATATTTAACACGAAAATCCTAAGCAACAAAATTTGAATTTGACAAAAGTGACTTTTTACTTCATCCATGCAAAATCCAAATAACATTGCACAAGAAAAATTATGTCTAAAATAACAATTTTGTTAAGATTACCAAAACAAAACATATTGTCAGAGCTTCCAGATTGGGACAGCAACCAAGCCAGCAGAGTACTAAATACATGCTGCGTGAATCCGAAGGTAAACCCAGTTTCAAAGACTTCAAAATACGGGATGTCACAAAGAGACAATCTAAATGAAACAAAGTTAATGCCTATCCTATTTCTGCAATATAAACCTTTAACATGATAGATAAATTTAACTCAGGAAAAAGTATTTCCTTTACCATTAGAATGAATAATCAGTTAACTTTTTAATCTTATAATGTCTTCAAAACATTGAGAAATATGAACACATACCGCTTCGAAGGTAACCGTCAGTTTCAAAACTTTAATACTACCAAGTCCTCCAAAAAAGTTACGCACAGTACAACTCGATGACTTTCATTATGCGTTGCATGCACAGGGAGACAGTTTGAGGAAAAGAGTTTCATTAAGTTCTGCGCGTGATGCTCTGTGGGTGATAGCTGTACGAATGGTTAACTACTTCTTTTCACTGGCTGTTGTTTCTCCCGAGCTTGGCGTTGGAAACTTGCAGTTCTCATAGATACCGTTTTCCGTATTTTGCCAATGGCATCGATCAAAACATGACAGGAACAGACGAGCAGACGCAATTGAAGACATGTAAAATGCATTTATTAAGATTACAAGTTAATTTTGTGCTTATACTAGAATTAGAATCTGTCTGTATATTCTTCTGCTTAATTTCCCTTCTCGATTTGCCGTAGATTAAAAAGACTTGTACTCATGGTTGTTAGTATCCTACGATACGCGATACGTATCCTATGATATGATTTGATATGGGTCACCAACGATACGTATCAGAGAGTGTTTCTTAAACCTTTTGATACATTGATATGTATTCTACGATATGTATCTATTTGTATCCTTAAAAATATCAATACAAGTTGATACAACTTTATTAATTTGGGTCAAAGGTCAAAAAAAAAAAAAAAAATTCCAGGTTGAATATGAGTCACCCAATCCGGTTCACTAAATCCTACCCAAATTTATCCTTTTTGCATGGAGAAAGTAAAAAGGAAGATGTGTTGCCTATTTTACATGATAATAAAACACAAGTGAAGTTATGAATATTGACATTGATCTTGGAAATGATATGAATGGTTGAGAGGAAATGATATATATTCTTAATTTTGTGATTAATTTTGATTATGTAATACCATAATTTAAAGTCAATAATACTACAAAATTTGTTAATTAAACACGGAGATGATATTAATTTTTAGAAATTTTTTATTATTTTATTAATTTATTTGAAAAAGGCGTATCTTGTGATACGATACGATAGAATACGATACGTGATACATAATTCGAAAAATTAAGTTTTCGATACACAATACAATATACGATTTGACAACTATACTTGTACTGTCTTTCTCCATGTGCAATGAGGCTCAATAATTAGTTCTTGGCTCCTTGCTTTCATCAAAGTTCTCGTGTCTCCATTGCTTTTTGTGGGTGATCTATATGTTAATTGATGATAATGGTCTATGTTATCTCAGAAGAGCCAAAGCTACGCTGTCTATCAATGGTTCAAAATTGTTTTACTAATTAAAAAAAGACCCTTGTTTTTGAAACACAGCGGCAAAGATATTCTTATCCTGTGTCAACTTCCTCTTAAATTTTTATCCAGCTCGTTTTCCAGTAATAACATCAGAGGCCGGCCAATCCATATGATGTAATCTCCGTCTCCCTACTGACTATTTAATTGACATAACGAGAAAAACGATATTAATAAATATTAAAAATTGACTCATTCCCCACTTAAGTTTCTATGTAAACATCCTCAAAGGCTAGTTTTTTGTATCAATTTCTACATTGCACACTCAAGAAAATGCCTAAACCCACAACTATAAGCAGTGGGAGGAGCTGGTTCAAGTACTTCCAGTATGAAGAAGGCAGGGACTCGCCAGCTGAAGCCCGAAATGTGATCCTGGTGGTGGTCACTCTCATTGCAGCAGTGACTTTTCAAGCTGGGGTGAATATTCCTGGTGGTGTTTGGCAAGATGAAGATGATGGACATGCTCCAGGGTGGGCAATTTTTGCGAGTCGAACACGACCGTACCACGTTTTTCTAATATCAAACAGCATAGCTCTTTCTACATCCATACTTGTAATTGCATCACTTACCTATAGGTTTCCTTTCCATTTCGAGATATGGGTTGCTACTGCTGCAATGTTGGTAACCTACGCTTCCACTCTTTATGCTGTTACGCCTGATGATTCTGTGAATCTTATATACGTCTTGGTTGCTTCTGCTCTGCCTTTTGTGATTCGTTGTTTAATCCACTTATTCAATAAGTGTATCACTATATTCAAGTCCAAAAGTAACATTCGTACTGGTGAGGCACAGACACCATCTCCTTAAGCAACCAGTTTGCTAATATACCGGGTGTGTTATCTATGTACTGATCGATTGAAGGTTATCTTGTAATCCTATTGTTAACTAATTTTCTGGAATGAAATGAATGTCATATTAGTTCCTCTTTAATCAACTCACACCAATAATCACTTATCATTCTTAATACATAATATTGGGTAGCTCGAGCTTCCCAATAATTTAAACATTTTGAAGCTGTAAACTGTTATTCATTTAATTTTTACATGTAAATTGATGTGATATAAAAAGATTAAATATAAATTAATCAATTATAAAATAATAGTTATTATTCTCTAATGATATAATAATAGGAGCAGAGATATAAGAAATATCTGTAAATAACTAAATATAAGATTTGAACTACGCGGATTGTTTTATTTAATTTTAAGGAAACGGGAGGTGGTAGACTGGTAGTGGTACTACCCAAGTATCGTAACAGTTTCTTGCTCTACAAACCTGGTCTGCGTCCTACTTTCCAAGAACCTGCTTCAAAAGAAGAATAAATAGTAAATAATGGAAACGGAGAGAGAAACTGTTGACTTTCGATAATGAAGTGTACAATTTTAAAATTTTTCATCTTTCACGTTAAGTCAATATATATTTTGTTGAAGTGTTGTTAGAAGGAATCTTCCCAGACCCGTAGCTTTGAGAACGATATTATATCTACTCTTAACCCGTTCAACGACGCCCCTCACTCCTTGTAAAACCAAAATAGAAGGGCGGTTCTGTCTCTTTCTTTCAAGATTGGAAATGGATGGAAGATTGTTTGAGGCAGCTCGAACTGGCAACGTTAGTTTATTGCACCAATTACTTCTTGAAAACCCTTTGATTCTAGTTGATTGTGAGCTCGTCTCTCCCCACGAGAACCCGTTACACATTGCTACTAAGGCCGGACAACTGGCTTTTGTACAACAAATACTTAAACAGAGACCAGGTTTCGTAAGACAATNCTCAATAATTAGTTCTTGGCTCCTTGCTTTCATCAAAGTTCTCGTGTCTCCATTGCTTTTTGTGGGTGATCTATATGTTAATTGATGATAATGGTCTATGTTATCTCAGAAGAGCCAAAGCTACGCTGTCTATCAATGGTTCAAAATTGTTTTACTAATTAAAAAAAGACCCTTGTTTTTGAAACACAGCGGCAAAGATATTCTTATCCTGTGTCAACTTCCTCTTAAATTTTTATCCAGCTCGTTTTCCAGTAATAACATCAGAGGCCGGCCAATCCATATGATGTAATCTCCGTCTCCCTACTGACTATTTAATTGACATAACGAGAAAAACGATATTAATAAATATTAAAAATTGACTCATTCCCCACTTAAGTTTCTATTTAAACATCCTCAAAGGCTAGTTTTTTGTATCAATTTCTACATTGCACACTCAAGAAAATGCCTAAACCCACAACTATAAGCAGTGGGAGGAGCTGGTTCAAGTACTTCCAGTATGAAGAAGGCAGGGACTCGCCAGCTGAAGCCCGAAATGTGATCCTGGTGGTGGTCACTCTCATTGCAGCAGTGACTTTTCAAGCTGGGGTGAATATTCCTGGTGGTGTTTGGCAAGATGAAGATGATGGACATGCTCCAGGGTGGGCAATTTTTGCGAGTCGAACACGACCGTACCACGTTTTTCTAATATCAAACAGCATAGCTCTTTCTACATCCATACTTGTAATTGCATCACTTACCTATAGGTTTCCTTTCCATTTCGAGATATGGGTTGCTACTGCTGCAATGTTGGTAACCTACGCTTCCACTCTTTATGCTGTTACGCCTGATGATTCTGTGAATCTTATATACGTCTTGGTTGCTTCTGCTCTGCCTTTTGTGATTCGTTGTTTAATCCACTTATTCAATAAGTGTATCACTATATTCAAGTCCAAAAGTAACATTCGTACTGGTGAGGCACAGACACCATCTCCTTAAGCAACCAGTTTGCTAATATACCGGGTGTGTTATCTATGTACTGATCGATTGAAGGTTATCTTGTAATCCTATTGTTAACTAATTTTCTGGAATGAAATGAATGTCATATTAGTTCCTCTTTAATCAACTCACACCAATAATCACTTATCATTCTTAATACATAATATTGGGTAGCTCGAGCTTCCCAATAATTTAAACATTTTGAAGCTGTAAACTGTTATTCATTTAATTTTTACATGTAAATTGATGTGATATAAAAAGATTAAATATAAATTAATCAATTATAAAATAATAGTTATTATTCTCTAATGATATAATAATAGGAGCAGAGATATAAGAAATATCTGTAAATAACTAAATATAAGATTTGAACTACGCGGATTGTTTTATTTAATTTTAAGGAAACGGGAGGTGGTAGACTGGTAGTGGTACTACCCAAGTATCGTAACAGTTTCTTGCTCTACAAACCTGGTCTGCGTCCTACTTTCCAAGAACCTGCTTCAAAAGAAGAATAAATAGTAAATAATGGAAACGGAGAGAGAAACTGTTGACTTTCGATAATGAAGTGTACAATTTTAAAATTTTTCATCTTTCACGTTAAGTCAATATATATTTTGTTGAAGTGTTGTTAGAAGGAATCTTCCCAGACCCGTAGCTTTGAGAACGATATTATATCTACTCTTAACCCGTTCAACGACGCCCCTCACTCCTTGTAAAACCAAAATAGAAGGGCGGTTCTGTCTCTTTCTTTCAAGATTGGAAATGGATGGAAGATTGTTTGAGGCAGCTCGAACTGGCAACGTTAGTTTATTGCACCAATTACTTCTTGAAAACCCTTTGATTCTAGTTGATTGTGAGCTCGTCTCTCCCCACGAGAACCCGTTACACATTGCTACTAAGGCCGGACAACTGGCTTTTGTACAACAAATACTTAAACAGAGACCAGGTTTCGTAAGACAATTAAACCAAGATGGGTTTCGGCCACTGGACATTGCTTCCGCAATTGGGTACGTAGATATAGTGAAAGAGATTACAACTTGTCATCGTGATGTTTGCCGTCTCAGGGGAAGAGAAGGAAGAACATGTCTTCATTATGCTGCTATAAATGAAAGGGTTGAGATTATTGATCAATTACTTACCACTTGCAGTGAGTGTGTTAAAGAGGTGACATCTCTCGGTGAAACTGCTCTTCATCTAGCTTTGAAATACTATAAGGTTGAAGCCTTTACAAACTTGGTCAAATGGCTGGAAGAGCTTGGTTTGGAAGAGCTTGTGAATTCGGTTGATAAAGATGGAAACACCATCTTGCACCTCGCGGTATCTAGAAAACAACTTGAGGCAAGTTCAGCTCCACCTTAATTTAATTCACTACCAAGCTCTTATTATTCTTTTTCTTTCATTTTTTTTTTTCTTGACTGTTGTATTCTTGATCTTCATTTCTATTGAGTCGGAAAACCTTCCCAACTTCTCATAAAGGGTAAAAAGCATTTATATTTCGTATACAAAGAGACTAATATGCTTGATTTAAATTAATGATAACGTAGAATGAAAAATGAAATTCAGTTATTTGGTTGTGACTGCTTCATAAAAGATAAATGCAAGAATGCTTCATGGTGTGGCTCTTTTGTTGTGTTCAATTTGAAATTTAATCGTAGGTTATTTGATTTAACACCATCCGAGTGCCTTCAGGGATTTATTTTGGTTGTCCTCCAGTCACTCTCTGTACCCTTTTGGATCTGTTCCCAAAACAAAATATTTGCAGCAATACTTCTGTAGAAAAGTTTTCTTTCGGACCCAACTTGAAGCCGTTTTGATTTTCCACATGTCAATAATTGCATCGCCGCTGGTAGAGTCAGAGCTAAAGCTTTTGATTGGCATTCAATGATGATTTAGACTAATAGTTTTGTTTTCATGTTCTGTTTTGTAATCTCTCCGTGCAAGCGTCGGTATCTTAATTTTTTTTTTCTGTGTCCTGTTAATATTGGGTCTGTCTTTTTCTTAGGGCAATTGTGATTTTGTTTTGTTTGACCACTTAAAAGATATTTCCATCATGTAGAGTGTAGAGCTTCTGCTTAAAAGCAGCAATATCAGCATCATACTGGAACTGAACGTCAGGAACTCGAGGGGTTTCACAGCGACGGATTTGTTAGATAATTCACCCGTAGACAATCCAAATGATATTCGACTAAAGGAAATCCTCCAATTTGCGGGAGCCCTCAGTACAGAAACTCCTCATAACACTATGATAAACAATCCAAAGCCTTCTACAGGAGTTTCAAAAGACTGGATTAAGTATTTTCAATTTCAAATGGAAAGGGACTCACCAAGTGATACTCGCAATGCACTATTAGTCGTAGCAGCACTGATTGCAACTGTGACTTTCCAAGCAGGGATGAACCCACCAAGTAGCTTTATTCTGGATACGGCCACAGCCAATTCCACCAATACTGCGAACTCTGCTCCTCCTCCGGCTAATACTCCAACGACCAGATTTGGTCCAGCAGTTACCTCTGGTTTACTTGCTGCTTTTGGGAGTTCAGGCTCTCTAGTCACATCCAATTTGTTTGTATTTGGAAATACATTAAGCCTTGCTGCATCCCTAAGCATCATAATTTATCTGACAAATAGATTCCCTTTCCAGAGAGAGCTTCAAATAGCAATTTTCTCAATGATATTTACTTATGGGTGTGCAGTAAATTCTATTAAACCTGCGGGCGCCATTAAGTATATCCTACTAGGAATTGCCCTTCTTCTACCATTTTTATTTCGATGGCTTCCACACTGGGTCAGAAAATTTTGGAAGTGGCTGCAATACAGGAGGGATCAGAACAATTCCAAAACGGCTGAAAGACGATTAAACTCATCGAGCCCCCTTTAAGCATCTGAATCTGGAGATTTACAAACCTGTGTTGGATAAATAATTACATGCTTTTATATAAAAATGTATCGCGATTATATTCTAGAATTCATTCTCAAGTTGGAATTTTTTTATTTAGTAAATTGATTTTGGAACCTTTTGGTATTCTGTTGCATGTTAAAATTGATATGTATGTAATTTCAGGCATATGTATGTTAGAGTTATATTTAATCGTACCATTAACTGAATTTGAATTAGAATGCGGGCACCCTTAGGTTTTTTTTCTCAAAACTTAACGATACGATTTTCTATAGAAAATGTAAAAATCTTGTGTATGCATCGGACTAGAATGAAAGACTACATCTAAATAACGATAAGATTAAAACTTGTAATGAAGAAACTTGTATTAGATATTCTGCCAGATCTTCCTCTTCCACCGCTACTTGAATAAATTTTATTATTTTGGGAGGGACAAGAATAGAGTTGTGTGATGTTACTCTCCTTTTTCAATTGTTTTTGGGAAGGATAGGATTCGAGTGTTGTTAATCCTAATGGAAATAAAATTTTAATCCTAATTAAAAAATGAAATAATATAACTTAAAACAGTCCAAATCCTCATAAAAATATAATACTAATTCTTATAAAATAATGCGAATGAAATTTAAAATAATGATGCGTTGTTACGAGGGCATTTGTATTAGACAATTTGAATTTGCTCACGGGCTGACCACTTTCTAGACCCAGTTCCATTCAAGTCTTAGTTCTTTGGGGGAGTACAAAAGCCTGCGTTTATGGGAGTTAAAAATTAAAATACTAATTCCTGCACATTATTCCTGCGTTTGTGGTAGTTAAAAATTAAAAAAGTTCAGAGAATCATAACATGGATAAGAACAAGTATTATTTATGGCCAACCAGAAAAAAAAAAATAGTATCAAGCAATAAAATTAAGGAACTAATTACATAATAGACTTTGATTGCCAGACTTTAAAGAAGAATCTCCCATCTGTACATACCATATCATTTGAAATCCAAAACCCGGAAAAGGAAAACACATACAAGACGTAGAGGCAAGTTTAGTGCACAAAATTATGTGTTCAATTTGCCAACCCAAAAAAAGGAGGAAGAGTAAAAATAGTCGGTATCTCTACATGCATCTAACTACATTAACAGTTTACAATAAGCTTAACAGTAGTTGCTGCTTTTGGTGTGAGGTTTCACTTCATTTAAACACAAGTGGACTTTTAGTAATCTTGCAATGTTTAAAGATGATTCTGCTATATTTAGAGGTGGTTGAGGTTGTAGCATCATCTCTCCCTGGAGATATGAATTTAAGCGGAAGCCCAATCCAAAGAGAAAATCTACTTCAAGAAAGTTTATCTCTGTTGTTTCTTGGTTATATTCCAGGGTTTGTTCCAGCAGTTCCCTCCGGTTTGACTGTTGTTTCTTGGAGTTCAGGCTCTCTAGTTAAATCGAATTTGTTTTATTTTGGAATACATTAGGCCTTCCTGCATCACTCTGCATTATAATTTATCTGACAAGCAGATTCCCTTTCCAGAGAGAGCTTTAAATTGCTATTTTCACAATGATGTTTGCTTAAAGATGTGCAGTACATTATATTAAACCTGCGGGTGCCATTAATTATGTCGTACTAGGAATTACCCTTCTTCTACCAGTTTCATCTCGATGGCTTCCGCCATGGGTCAGAAAATGGTAGAAGTGGCTGAAATACAAGAGGGGGTAGAAAAATTCCGAAGTGACTGAAAAGACAATTAAACTCATCAAGAGAAATAGTTACATGCTTTTATACAACGTGTTGTTATCATACAAGAGAAAGAATGAAAAACAAAGACAAAGACTAAATAAACCATGTCGACATAGACCTTGACTCTTAAAATAATGGTGTCTTGTCACTAGGCAATTTGTGCGTATTTTCCTCTTAAAAAATATTAGAATAAGAGACGTGTGCATATGCCCTTTTCATTGCTGGCTTATCATCAAGGATTTTCTGGGTACGTTGAAAGTTCAACACGGTAGTCTATTGATGACTTGTTTTTCTTTCTTAATAGAGACATATACGTCATTTGAATTTTCAAAACTAAATTGTAAAACAACTTTGACGAATGATTTATACTAATCAAACATTTAACCAGATTGTCTTTGAAAATTGTGAGGCTCCGTTTGGCTTATTATTTCTACTCATATTCTCAATTCTATTCTTCAAATATTGTTTAGCATATTATTTGAGAAATACTAGTCTATTCTTTAATTTTTTAGACCCCTTAAGTTTGTTAATTTCATTAAATACCCTTAAAAAAAATTTAAAAATTAACAAAAACATCCCCCACCCACCAATACTTGCCAGATTCTGGCAATCACCATCAATGGTAGCCGAAATCTATCACAACGGTCTACACCACCACCGAAAATAGTCGGTAATTCACTAATCTAGCCGTCGTTGACAGTCAACAATAGCCATATGTTTGGCCGTCGCGCTGACGGCCAAAGACATTTGTGGCCATCGATGGCCAAATCTGGCCATAAATCAAGCCTTCTTCAGCTAGATCTGTGGTGGATCTGGCCGAAAAATACCATATCAACGCCCTACCAATCAGATTCGACCGGTTTGTGGTATAACGCAATTTTTGGTGTGGTGGGGGTGTTTTTGTCATTTTATAAATTTTTTATATATTAGTGTGTTTAGTTAAATTATCAAACTTATGGGGTTTAAATTCATAATAAAATAAGAGTTAATAACTTTTCCCACCAAGTACTAACATTGAAAATTTAAAATTCTCCCCCAAAAAAAAAACTTGAATTTTCAATGTTAGTATTTGGTTTAGTACAAATTGGTTAGTGCACATATCATTACTCAAAATATAATTCTACTGCCAATAAAACAATGAAAATTAAATATCATAATAGAATAAGAGTTAATATAACTTTTCCCACCAAAAGTTTGCCTTAATTACTTTCCCGCCCATAAACTTTGAAAAATATTTTCCCACCCATCTATTTAACAGCAACAAGGCATTTTTGTCAGTTCACACAATATATATTATAGGGTTACTATTCCCCGCACCCCTAAATTACACAAACATAACAATTACCTTCACTAATTTGGAAATTAGTCATTTAAACCTCTATCTTCAATTTCTATAATTACAAAACAATATTTCATTAAAATTGTATATATTTTATGAACTTATATAAAAATATAATTTCCAAAAAAAAAAAACTGTAAAATTGTAAAAAATAAGAAAAATAAAAAAAAACAAAAACAAAAGTTGGCCGAATTCTCACCAAGCTAGGTGCGATTCTTTATAACATTTCAAGTGCAACCCTAGATGTGTATTTCTGCCGATAACTTATTATTCAAAATATTGTTATTTAATTACTAAAACCACTTTTTAAACTTTATCTATTAATTCTTTTAAAAACCAAATGTATATTTATAACTAAAAATGTCCCAAAAAAAAAAAAAAAAAAAAAAAGGCAAGTACTCCCCATATTACAAACATCGCATTTTCAGAATTTTCTCCTCAATAAATTTTTACAATTTTAATCAAGCTTCAAACACATGTTTTCAACTCAAAATTCTACATCACCTTCAAGTTTCTAAATCCCCATTCCAACAGTATATGTGAGTGAAGACTTAGACTTATTCTTTGATGAAACTCTACATTAAAATCAGAATTTCATTTAACCACTCAACAATAGTGAGCCAATGGCTAAAACCTCTGGTTCCATGTTGTAAGATTAATAATAGTAAACTTAATTTATAGTTGGATATGACGTTAATATACAAATAGAATAATATAATATTGTCTCAAAACATCTTGTTCCTCCATGGTTCCTACTTCTTTGTTCTCAGTTTCTCCTAGTCCTCCCAATGTAGCGTCATTAAACTCGAAGATTCCAAGTCGTCGAAATGTGGGACATCATTTAACGTGTTAGATTAACATTAAACATTTTAATGTTCATGTAGCAGAACCTTTAAAGAAAGATGCAAAAGTGTTCCCAGAATTAAGGAAGCAAAAAATGTATATGGTAGACAAGAGAAATGCTCAAAATATTCTTTTAATTTTTCTCTGCGTCAATCTTTCACTCTCTTCTTGTAAGGCACACAAGAGACCCAAAAATAAAATAAAATAAACAAATTAGCCATTTCTTAGACATGATGTTAACAAAATCATTTCTTTAACAATCAGTACAAATATAATTTATAATTGAATTAGTCTTTGCGTTTTATATTTTTGCCTGGTATGATTAGTTTACATTATTTAAATTATGTTATATTTGAATTTCATGGTTTTATTATATTTTAGGTATGATTCTTTTAAGTTATTCAACTTACGTAAGTGTTATTTTCATGCAGAAAGTGACTGATTATTGAGTACCACATGACTAGTATTCTTGTGTGGCTGAGTTTAATTTATCTTCTTGTTCTTTGAATATTCATAGGTAAGTAATTCCCTTTAGTTTCGTTCACTGTCAGATTCTGCTTCAGCCAGCTTGATGTATTCCAACAAAGACTTATGGATACTAATCAACTATGCACCAAAGAGTCTTTTATCGAATCTCTTGGCCACTCAAAAGTCGGGTTTTTTACCGATTAACTCATACGACATGATATGTTATAACATGATGATTAATGAAGACTTACAAATTTAAAATATTTGTTTAAATGAATTCCTCCAACCATATTTTAATACACTAGTTTATGTAAATTAATTGAAATAAGATATTTATACATATAAATATTATTCTTTTATTAAGAATTATTGGCTCTTATCTTTCATACAAATCTTAATAAAAGAGCATTAGAATGAAAAAAAAATTAGAGAAAAAAAGCGTGTTGTTAATATTTCGGTCTTCGTCAACAAAATGAGTAAGCAAGAAACCTCTATAAATTCTGTGCTTTCAACCCATTCAAAATACAATGCAACCAAGAAAACAATCTTTACTTACCTACTGTGTCCTGTGAATAATTCTAGACTAGAATGGACGGTAGATTGTTTGAGGCAGCTCGAACAGGCAGTGTCAGTGCGTTACACCAACTGCTTGCTGAAAACCCATTGGTTCTAGCTGGTTGTGCTCTCATATCTCCTCATGAGAACCCGTTACACGTTGCTGCTAAGGCCGGACAGCTTGCTTTTGTAAAGGAAAGAATTAAACAGAGGGACGTATTGACATATAATACCATTTCATCAGGCAAAAGGTGGAGGAAAAATTAGTGTTGTTAGAGAAGGTTGATACACTTGTTAATGCTGCATATTTTCTTACCAAGGCTGTGAGCTTAGCAAAGTTTACATGGTGTCAAGTGGGAGAATATTGGAGTTGTCGACTACTTCAGCATTAATGGGTGACGGAGACACACTCGGGGTCCCGCTGCCCGTAGGCGGTTTTGGGCTTTTCCATATATAACCGCTGTAGGATTTCTTTTAAGTTACTAATTCCTTTTTGGGTTGGGCTTAAGAATATGAATCCTTGTAAAACTAGGTTTAATCTCTTAAACCTAGTATATAAACATACTTTTTTTCTTGTTATGTGTGTGAGAGCAATTCATTCATTGTAAACGAGAGGATGAGGCATATTGCAATAATATTGACTCAGCTGGACGTAGCCTACATTAGGTGAACAAGGGTAAATCGTGCGTATTATTTTCTTCATTTACTTTTTAATTTGTTTTACTATTATATTTTGTTCCTGTTGTTGTCTCTATTTCGTTCACTTATCTATTTACTCAAGCAAACCAAGATGGGTTTCGGCCACTGGACATTGCTTCAGTTCTTGCGCATGTCGAAATAGTGGAAGAAATCATAACGACTTGCCATCCTGATGTTTGCCGTCTCAAAGGGACCCATGGAAGAACATGTATTCATCATGCTGCTATAAATGGAAGGGTTGAGATTATTGATAAATTGCTTACCTCTTGTGGTGACTCTGTTAGAGATCTGACATCTCTCGGCGAAACTGCTCTTCATCTGGCTTTGAAAAACTATAAACTTAAAGTTTTTACAAACTTGGTCAAATGGCTGGAAAAGCTTGGCTTGGAAAAAGAGCTCGTGAATTTTAGTGATAGAGATGGAAACACAGTTTTGCACCTGGCAGTCTGTAGGAAACAACTTGAGGCAAGTTGAACTCCACCTAATTAATTCACATCCCAGCATTTCCACATTTTTTATTTTTTACTTTTTGGGCTCTTCTTTTGATATTTTAAAGGTCCTGTTGTTATATTCATGATCACCTTATCTTGATTTCATTTATGTTTTTGGTCTGTCTTTTTTCATGGGTTAAATATGTCTTTATTTAGTTTGATCACTTATGGCCGGGAAAGTCTTGAATATAATCCTCACATAAACTTACAAGATATTCTGATCACGTAGATTGTTGAGCTTCTGCTTGGCAGCGGCAATATCAGCAACATTCTGGAACTGAACGCCAAGAACTCGAGGGGTTTCACTGCAATGGATTTGTTAGATATAGTGATAGAGAATTCCAATGAGGTTCGACTAAAGGAAATCCTCCAACGTGCGGGTGCCCTTGGTGTACAAACTCCTGATCATACTCTCATTAATACTCAAGATTCATCCGGAGCCTGTTCCTGTAGTTTATAAAGATTGGATTAATTATTTTAAATTTAAAATTGGAAGGGATCAACCAAGTGATGCTCGCGATGCACTGTTACTTGTGGCTGCACTTATTGCCACTGTTACTTACCAAGCTGCGATGGACCCTCCAAGTGGCATTTTTCTCGATAAAACCCCAAACACTTCCACTGAGAAATTTGTATTTTTCGCAAGGTTTTTTTCATTTTGCAATACATTGGGCTTTTCTACATCAATGGTCATGATAGATTATCTGACAGGTGGATTCCCAGCAGAGAGCTTCAAGTTTGTATTTTCTCAATGGGGGTAACTTATGGCATGGTAATTACTTCTATTACACCTAAAGATGCCATACTGTACATCACACTGTTCATTGCCCTTCTTCTACCTTATGTGCTACAGAAGCTACCAAGAGGGATTAGGAAACGCTGGCAACGCCCACCCTCTTAAGCATTTGAAGGTGGAGGTTTACAATTACAAAACCTGTGTTTGGGGAAAGATCGAATTACATGGTTTTATAAAATAAAGTGGTCTTTGCTAGATTAGGTAGCAAATTAATAATTAGAAAAGGTGACTGCCCCGTGTGTCTTATACGTATGAGCTGTTTGGAGTGCAGGAGGGCAGCCACCTGTGATTTATAATCCATCTCATATGACAGGTCAAGTATTTATCTTTGCAAAGATGTCGATCTTCATTGGTTTTGAATACTTTCGTTTCCTATATATCATGTGTAAAAATCACATAGTTAACCATGTTATTAGATACATCTGTGGAATTGAATATAAATTTTGATTGAGTTAAAAAAAATTATTCTCGTTATTGATGTGAGAAAATTGTATCAATAAAGTTATTTTTTAATTTAAGAATTTAGAGAGAACCAAAAAAAAAAAAAAAAGATTTTTTGCGTCCTTATTTCTGGGAACACTTTTGCATTTGACAATTTGCTGCCGACCACTTTCTAGACCCAATTCAATTCAAGTTTTGATTCTTTACAACTCAAAGCTCTACAAGTCCCAAGAGTATATGTGAGGAGTGAAGACATAGACTTATTGTATGATGAAATCAGAATTTCATTTAAATTAGTATTTATATTCAATACTAATTTAAAACCAGACTTATTTACGGATATTAATCGACTTTTTATATATAAAAATAGATAAATATTACGTGAAGAAATATTGAACAGCTTGGGAGGCAGTTAAGTTTTGGCATCTTCACTTTAACTTTCATTGGATAATGATGAAATCGATGTCATGTTGATATTAATATGGGATTAATAAAGATGAATTAATCAAAACATATATATAAATTTAAGTAAAAAATTTAAATTAATGGAAGGATGCATATGTCCATTAATGATATGGACATGAATGGGACATACTAACTCAAACCTTAAGTTAATGGTTAGTCCTCCTTTACTACGTATCTTTACACTTACATATTGACTACTCAAATATGGTAAACGGCTTAAACCTCTAATTCCAAATTCTACCATTAACAACACTTAAATACTTATTTTACAGTCGGATATATCAGCATATATATGATGTTAATATTCAAATTCAATAATTCAAAAGCATCTTGTTCCTTCGTGGTTGCTCGCTCCTAACAAAGCCAAAGACTTGTAAGCAGGGACTTGCCGGATTTGGTCAACACGCACCAACCTTCTTATATTATAACAAGGACATATTACTTTTCCTTTTCCCTTCTCAAACATATGTGTATATATAGATTGACTTCAATATATAATTTATTACGTTAAAAAAAAAAAATATGTTAAGATAATGGACTCAGTCAGAATTAAGTTTCTATTTGAACATCTTGGAAGGCAATATAGTTTTGGCATCCTTAACTTTCATTGCTCAAGAAATTGTATACCAATGTCGTCTCACCCTTCTTTGAGTACTGGGAGGGCTGGTTTAAATATTTCCGGTATGAAGAAGGCAGGGACTCGCCAAGTGATGCCCGGAATGTGCTCCTGATTGTTGTCACTCTGATTGCTGCAGTGACTTTTCAAGCAGGAGTCAACCCTCCTGGTGGTGTTTGGCAAGATGATAATAATGGACATGTTCCCGGCAGGGCTATTTATGCTGCTCAAAATGAAGCCTACTATGTTTTCTTGATTTCTAACACCGTGGCTCTTTCTACATCCATACTTGTTATTGTTTCGCTCACATATAGGTTTCCTTTTCATTTCGAGATATGGGTTGCCACTGGTGCAATGATAGTAACTTATGGATCTGCTCTTTTTGCTGTTACGCCTATTGAATCTGTCAGATTTCGATACATCTTGCTTGCGGCTGCTGTGCCTTTCGTAGTTCGGTGTTTGATCCAGATGTATAACAAGTATACAAGTAACAAGACATCCAATGGTATTCAGGATGAGCTTCAATGTTCTTAGCCAATTATGTTTATATTCAGGATGCAAATCAATATCCTCAGCCAATTTGTTTATGTAATCTGACATGGAAGTCTGTGTATCAGATAATTAAAGTATTATATGTTGTGATTGCTGAATTAAGTTGTTCCTTCTAATTGTTGATGAACATTTAACATTAGTCCAATTTTGGATACAGAAGATTTCTTTTGTCCAGATATGAAGAGGGATTATTGATTAGGTATACACGTTTTGGCACAAAGAATTTCCAAATACGCAATGGACTTGTAATCAACTTATTTAACAGTCAAACAAAAGAAAGTCCGACACAGGTTAGGAAGGCAGGTCGAACTAGGGGATAAACGGAACCCTTAGCCCAGACTAAACTAGGGGCGTATTGACCCAAATGAATTCGGGCTTTCTAGATTGGAGAGTAACCCTTGTGCCCAAACAGCAACAAGAGGTTCATCCTCGGCCTAAATTTGAGGTTCCTTAATGTCATGCTCCAACATATTGTTGCTGTGCCACTGTGCAGCACTTAAATACTTGATATACAGCAGTTAAATAAGACTTGAAACGGCAGAATGTGAGTGTGTAATATAGCCATCAAAAATCGAAATGTTTGACAGAATACTATTCAGGCAGCAACAGAACTTTCAATTTATGAGCCCTTCCCTCACCAAAAATTGAGCATTCCAACAATAGTAGCTGCCTCCTCATCTTGCTTGCAGCTGCCGACTGTTACTGCGTAATAACATCAATAATGTCTAACCCTTTTTCATTGTTAGATTGTCGGTTACATTTACAGATAGCACATTCATTTCTCAAGTAACCTGCTCGGATATCAGTAGTTGTCGTTCGGCGCCGCTAGATGTTGAAATTTTTTTGACCCGTGACACTAACCCAGTTTATGTCGACCAGTTGCAGCTGCCTAAGTTAAGCACCTTAACTTTTGGTATTCTGACAAAAGAGGAGAAATTTTGTTTCTTTTTATTCTCAATTTGGTATATATGAATATGGTCATACTAGTGACTTCATAAATAAAACTTTAAATAAAAGCAAAACCAAAATTAAATAAAATGGCATAACCAGAAGTGTTTTGTGTGTTCTAAATGCTGCAAGTGCCTGGATGATAGGATTAAATGGTCAATATGGCAATTATAAGACTGTTGGAACTGGAACTCCTAGCCATTTTTTTCCATATCACAAGTTGGGGTAAGTGGTAGCATGCCATCTTTCCCTTTCTGTATTTCGAAAGTCTAAACTTCCTATCTGTAATTGCACATGTTCCATGTCCCCTTTTGAAGAATCTGTACAACTGTCAAAAGGAACAAATTGTTAAATATTCACAACAAAATACTAATCCCTGTACATTGTTCTTTTGTCACCACTCATTTTCTTTCCCTATTTGCCACCTCTGATTTCTCAAACTTTTAGTGGCTCTTCAAAAAGTTCAGAGAATCCTAACATGGATAAGAACAAGTATCACTTAAGGCCAGAGGAAAAAAAAAAAAGAGTATCAAGCAATAAATTAAGGAACTAATTACATAATAGACTTCGATTGCCAGACTGTAAAGAAGAATCTTCCATCTGTACATACCAATATTATGAAATCCAAAACCCAGAAAAAGTAAACAAATACAAGACATAGAGACAGTTTATAAATGGGAAAGAGTAAACAGAGTCTCTTATCTCTACATGCATCTAACTACACTTTTAACAGTTTACAACAAAGCTTAAACAGCTAGTTGGCTGTGGGTGTGAGGTTCATCTTCATTGAAACACAAGTGGAGTTTTAGAAATCTTCCAATGTTTAAAGATGATTCTGCTATATTTAGAGATGGTTGAGGTTGTTGCATCATCTCTCTCGAAGATTGAACAGTAACTGTAAAATTGTAAAAAAGAAGAAAAAGACTGAAAAAAAAAAAACAAAAGTTGGCCGGATTCTCACCCAGCTAGGTGCGATCTTATAACATGTCAAGTGTAACCCTAGATGTGTATTCTCGATAACTTATGATTCAAAAATATTGTATATTTCTAACTAAAAAATTGTCGGAAAAAAATAGCAAGTACTCCCATATTACAACATCGCATTTTCAGATTTTTCCCTCAATAAATTTTTACAATTAATCAAGCTTCAACACATGTTTTCAACTCAAAATTCTACATCACCTTCAAATTTCTAAATCCCCAGTTCCAACAGTATATGTGAGGAGTGAAGACTTAGACTTATTCTTTGATGAAACTCTAATTAAAATCAGAATTCATTAACCACTCAACAATAGTCAGCCAATGGCTAAAACCTCTGGTTCCAAGTTGACGATTAATAATAGTAAACTTTATTTATAGTTGGATAAGACGTTAATATACAATAGAAAATATAATATTGTCTCAAACATCTTGTTCCTGCATGGTTCCTACTTCCTTGTTCTCAGTTTCTCCTAGTCCTCGCATGTAGCATCATTAAACTCGAGATTCCAACATCGTCGCTGTGTGGGGCATCATTAAAAGGAATTCCAAGTCGTCGCAACGAAGCATCATTAAACTCGATGATTCCAAGTCGTCGAAATGTGGGGCACATTTAACACGTTAGATTCACAGTAAACATTTTAATGTTCATTATATACTCTTAACCCGTCTCTGATGCCCTCACTCCTGGTAAAACCAAAATAGAAGGCAGTTCTGTCTCTTTCTTTCAGATTGGAAATGGATGGAAGATTGTTTGAGGCAGTCGAACTGGCGACGTTAGTTTATTGCACCAATTACTTCTTGAAAATCCTTTGATTCTTGCTGATTGTCAGCTCTTGTCCCCACGAGAACCTGTTACACATTGCTACCAAGGCCGACAAACTGGCTTTTGTGCAACAATTACTTAACCAGAGCCAGATTTCGTAAGACAATTAAACCAAGATGGGTTTCGGCCATGGACATTGCTTCCGCAATTGGGTACTTGAAATAGTGAAAGAGATCACAACTGTCTCGTGATGTTTGCCGTCTCAGGGAAGAGAAGAGAAGAACATGTCTTCATTATGCTGCATAAATGAAGGGTTGAGATTATTGATGAATTACTTACCACTTGTGGTGAGTGTGTTAAAGAGGACATCTCTCGGTCAAACTGCTCTTCATCTAGCTTTAAATACTATAAGCTTGATGCCTTTAAACACTTGGTCAAATGGCTGGAAGGGTTGGTTTGGAAGTGTTGAAAAATGGCTTTTAGCAAAATCCCATGGGGTAGAAATGATAATGGAGAAAGGTTTAGGAGTTATACATAATAGGCCAAGAAAAGGTTGTTTGTCCCACATTGAAAAGGAATGAAAAGTGGGAAACTTTGGAGCCTATAATAAGGACCTAAATCAATGTAATTGTATCCTAAGTTGTAATTCCATTATACTTCTTTTGTTTATGGTTCTTTCTTAAGGACCCTTTAGTTTGCAAGTTTTGTTGTATCTCCCCTGTGTTTGGGTATTTGTTGTATTGCCAAAATTTGTAATATTGTTTGGGAGATAGTGGAGTTTTTTTTGCAGCGCCAAGGAAGTAGGTTTAATACCGAACCTCGTTAATTCCTGGTATTCTTATTTTGCATTTAATTTTGGCAATTTATTATTCTTTACCACTTGTATTATTATATTCAATAAGCTAGCGTTAGAGTTTATATTTCCGTTGCATAACAATTGGTATCAGGCCTAGGTTAGGACAGTGAGTAGCTATTTGTATGGTTATATGCATGTTAGGAAAATTCTGTCAAAAGACGATAAAAGTCTAAAAGAGACTGGATTTTAAGTGGGACCATTTGTGACCCCTCCATTTTCCTGGGAATTTTCCTGGTGCTATTTAATCATTTCAGCACTTACTACTACCTAGGGCTATTGTTAATTTGGTGGGTAGCTATTGAATATAATAATTTGTGGAGCTTGGTTATTGGGAATTTTTGTACCAAGCCAATTGAGTAAGGCATAATGGCATCACCGTCCGAGGATTCATCGTTCGAGGCAGCACCGTTTGCGCGGCACCACCATCCGCACCAGTAAAGATGATAACGGTTTCAAGCAAAAATTGATGTTGAAAAATTTGAGGCCAAAAAATTTTGGCTTGTGGCAGAGTGAGGTAATGGATAGCTGTATCAGCAAGATCTAGATTCGTTCTGGAGGAGAAAAAAACAAAGATGTCTATGAGAAAGACTGGGTGAGGTTGAACGTAAAAGCGTGTGGGATGATTCGCTCATGTCTTTGTAGAGAGCAGAAATATCCATTCATGAAAGACGTCTGCAAATAAGTTATGGAAGGCGCTGGAAAACAAATACATGAAGAAAAGTAATGAGAATCGGCTTATTTGATGAAAAGACTGTTGTTTCAGTTGAGACAGGTACAAATATCAGTAGCCATATTGATACATTAACAGATTAATTGCGATTTGTTAATTTGGATGAAACATTCAAAGATGAGCATAAGGCTATGTTGTTAATTGGATCTCTTCCAGATGAGTTAGACATCTTAGTATTACGCTTCTTATGGGAAAAAAAATTGTCTTTGAAGAAGTTTGTCTGCTCTGTCCAATCATGAAATTCGAAAGAAGGATCAGAAGAGGAATAGAGATGAGTCAGCAGAAGCTCTTGTAGCAAGAGGGCGAAGTAAAATCAGAGTCGTAAGAAGGAGAGAAGGGGAAGATCTCGTTCAAAGGGAAAACTCAATAGGGATCAATGTGCCTTTTGTCGTGAGAAGGGCATTGGAAGAAAGATTGTCCGAAGTTGCAAAAGAAAGAGGGCAAAGCTACTTCTGATGCATACGTGTTGAGCGTGAAGAGGATGAGTCTGATTTCTGTCTAGTTAGCTTACCATCCACCTCTGGATCAAATGAGTGGATTATGGATTCAGGTTGTACCTATCATATGTGTCCCACAAGGGTGGTTCTTTAATTTTGAGAACTTGATGGTGGAGTTGTTTATATGGGCAATGATGATGCTTGGAAAACAACTGGGATAGGTTCAATTCGGTTGAGAATCATGATGGCTCAACTAGAACTCTGACAGATGTCGGTATGTACCGAAGTTGAAAAAGAATCTCATCTCTTGGGAGCTGGAATCTAAAGGTTCACAGTGAATATTCGAGATGGAATTCTAAAAGTTTCTTCAGGCGTCTGTGGGAATGAAAGGCACGAGAGAGAAACAACTTGTATTACTATAATGGTAGTACAGTTATTG